AAAGTAAATGCTGTTTGTTTATCAAACAGAGACAACATTAAATAGGATTCTCGGAAGCTTTCAGGCTACAGAGAAGCAAAACAAACCCAGAACTTAAAGAGGGGAAAAAGGACATGTCTTTCCGGAACAATGATCAAGGAAGTCTATTTCAGCAAAAGATGGATTATTATTACTGGGGTTTCATTTCTGGAATAATGACCCACCAAAACCTGTGGCCTGAAAAGAGTTCCTGCAGGTTTTATTTCTTCCACCTCACAACCAAAACTTCTTAAAGTCCCATTTAAGATGCAGATATTTTGGTTATATTTTCTTCTTTCGTTTGAAGTAATGAATGAACGGTGATGCCCATTTTGCTCTTCATTCAAGTGTCTCTTCTCTTTGAGAGATTTAGTAAGATTATATTATATAGTCGATCTAGTCGGAGACAATCCCGTCGGAGACAATCCCATCGATGATGACTGAGTAGGCGATTTGAGATATCTTCATTGTAAGATTCCTTCTTGGGAGTGGGTCGTCCGAGTGTCTTCAAGAGATTATCCGTTTCACGATTGCGTGATCATGTTATGATTCCCTCCGATGCTTAAAAGTCAATGAAGGGGAGAAGATAATTATGTAAACGATAAGACTGAATAAGTGTGTAGAGAATTATTCCCTTCTTAGCGTGAGCTGATTGGTTCCTTTTCATACTGAATCCCTGGGATTTCTCACTGACAAGTTCAAAATGAGATTAGATAAACCGTATGATCTGATCGTAATAAGGTAGGACAGTTATCGTCAGTTATTGATGTGGTGCACATCAAAAGGTCCCACGACATCATTTTGAGGTTTGGTGACCTAGAGCCCTACTTAAGTATCAACCTCAATAGTAAATGAGTTAATATTAGTAAAAATCTTCATATCATTGGTCATATGAAGTGAAGTGAGAATGGAAATTGCTTGTTGGTGTTGAAGTGAGAATGGATTAAATAATTTCACTCCATTACATTGGTCATAAAAATTATTTTTTATATTTAAAAAAATAAATAATAATAATAACAGGATTCAAATTCAGAACTATGATCCTTCAAAATCATTTCATTAGATAATTTATAAAAGTGGTAGGAATATGGGGATAAGTTGCCATTACGTCCATTGTTCTTAAATTAAATAAGACTCTTGGTCCAAATCCTACTGAATGAAGACCCCATTTAGATTCTTTAAGATATCCATCAAATTAACAAATGGTCACATTACATAAATGTCAGAAACCAACTTGACAGGTTGAGAGGTATACACTGCTTTTAATACAAAACAACATGTTAGGTATACATTTAATAAGTTGAGGGCGTAGTGGACCTCTCATTGGAGTACCATTCCCAATGTTACATCGTCGTCTATCGGAACCTCTGCATTTGCCATTAAACACACAGCATCGAGTCATGCAAATGTCACTCTCACCTGAACATGAGATACTGTGCATCCTTTTGCTCGCCGATGCTGAGTCTATTAAGTAGGAAGAAACACTGTCTTAATCTTCTAATTGAAATAAAATTAGAAAGAACAACTCGAGAAGAATCGAGTTGGATGGTTTTAGCCCAAATCGAATGTTGTTGCATCATTTCCGATGATATACACTCCTTTATTATTTTAAACCACTAGTCTTAATCTACCACAATTACCGAATCGATATTATTATTATGAGTGAGAATCTCGAATCTAATTATTATTTTTTCCAATGTCTAATTAAAAATGTTTGTGTAGTCGACTTATAATCAATTAAAGCTCTCGGTTTACTTATAATCAATCATAGCTATAAATCTTGAATTCCACTGAAAAATGAATTCTCATCGTCACCCATTCTTTTTGTTCTTTTTGTTTTCCTATCGTCGTCTTATTTATTATTATTTTATTTCTATTATATACATATATATATATATATAGTTATATTTTATTTCTTAATGTAAGGAGTATTACCAAAACTCAAATCTCAAATCATTGGTTTTTCTAACTGCCATGCCAAATCTAAAACAATGATTAGAGGCCGCAAAGATGTGATTCTCAAGTATAATTATGCTATTATCTAATTTTTTTGAAAATAATTTAATTTTAATCATATTATTGAAAGAAATGGCTAGCTTGAATATCTATTAATAGCGTATATAAGTTTATATACACAATATATTATAAAACATAATAATTATATGATTTTCTCAATCAATAATAAATATAAAATATTCATCTAAATCATTTCATAATATAGGATATCATGTGAGATCATGATCATCATTATTATCATAATTTATATGATTTAAAATTATTATAGTATATTATCAAAATATTGAGAGGATCATGATAATATATTATCATAATTTATATAATTTAAAATTATTATAACATATTATTAAGATATTTATTTTTTCGATAATATCTTTCCTAATAATTATCACCGTATACTCGTTTAGAAAACATACACGTCTTTGTATTCTCACAACTGAGTCCCTTTATAAGGAAACATAATTAGAGCAAAAAAGAAAGTTATCCTCTTCACTTTTATAAATCACAATGTTTTGTTAATAGTAATATTAAACATTTGCCGTTCGTAAATGATTACTTCCACAACTATACTGAACAGTAAAACATCATATTCTGCTTTATCAGGTTGTTTTCAAACTTTCGAATTCTATATCTACTAAACAAAAAGCAATTATCAATCGAATTATACATTGCTTAAATATTTTTGACCAGTGATAATTGATGATGACGTAAAGACATTAAATAGTGTACCTAATTTGATTGCACATCCATAATGGTTTAATCTCCATTAGTTAATGCACTCTTGAGTGGTTTAAGTTGGACAAGTAGGAGTAGGAGGAGGAGCCTATAGAAGATATAGTTTTCATTTTCCATAAGGACACTTCAAAAAAGTAATTGTTTTTTTAGTTCGTAGAGATAGTGATTCAATTCTAATGATTAGTACATTATTAGATTATTAATTCGTGTTTACAATTGCTGTCATTTCTTGTGATTATAGATGCAAGATATGTGGTTTAAGTTGGTGCCGTCTCAAATTATTAATTAGTGTTTACATTTGTTGCCATTTATTTCAACTAATGTGGCATTATCAATCTTAATCACGGAATATTTTTTTGACAAGTCCATGATTGCTTCTTTATTTATCTCATTATAACAAAGTAGTAACCATTAAGAAGAAAATGAAATCCTCCTTAAAGATCTAAGCATATTGTTATTTGTCATCTTACAGCCTAATAAATATGCTCAATAATAATTTCAATGGGACATTTTACCTTAAAATTGATTTTTATTTAGGATATTTTCTTTCGTCACTTTTATGAGAAATACTCTATTATCTCCACCATCACCCTCGATCGCTAGTAGCCGCTAACACGACTAACACCACCCTTCATCTTCCTCGTGGATAATCCTTCCCCGTGATATCTTTACTTCTCTCTTTCCCTCTACCTCCCACTTCTCTCTTACCACTTATCCCTCTATGTACCACTTATCCCTCTATGTACCTATCATCTCCTCCTTCTCCCTTGTCATGTCCTTCTTTCTGCTCATTGTTTTCCTCTTCTTCTTCTTCTTCTCTCTCTCTCAGCCTCTTGTCTCTTTTATCCTCTCTTTTTTTTTGTACATTATTTTTTTTCTTCTCCTATGAACTTAGTTTGAATTACTTAGTTTGTGAGATATCTTTATGTTATCCATCTACAAAGGGTCACTCTAGTTATAATCTCACTCAAGTCCCAAAGGACCTGTAAAAGAATAAATCAATTAATTCGAAAATGAATGATGAATAAATACTAACATCTTATGAAGAAATCTAGCAAATACTTAGTATATAAGAAATGAAGAAAAAGTTAATGACTTTAGAAGGTAAACGAATAATTAGAAGTCCACGAATGACTGGTCATTAGGTGTCAGACGTATTGACACCCAACACTATCCAAAACCATGTGAATTCAATCAACACCTAATACAATCCAAAACTCTTATTCAATCTTATGCCACCCAAGGGATTCTAAGGTGCTGAGATAGCTGATATTTTATTTCACATCACAACCAATAGAAAACTGGCTAGTGCACGTGAAAATTAGATTATTTTGAAATAATTTTATCTATTCTGATGGTTAATCACTTTACAACCATGCAAACTATTCCTACTCATAGTTTTGAAGTAAAAACAAAAAAAATAAAACAAAACACACTACCAAACATATGTATAAACATTTAAAAGCAATAAAAGATTCATTGAGAAAAGTATTACAGGAATATAATAACTATTCTTCTCTTCCTTTTTTTCATCATTTCTCTCCTGCTCATCCACCCAACATATCATAAGATAAACATAGAAGGAGAAGCGGAACGATAGAAAAGAGTAATCAACGTTATCCCGTGATGACATAGAGACGAGAATGAGGAAAAATGATGATCATAATGTATGACGATCGAGGGCAATGGGCAATGGTGGTGATGGAGGGTGATGAAAAAAAAAAACTAAATAAAAATCAATTAGGAAATGTCATTGACTAAAAGTTCAATGGTAATAATTTTTAAAAAAGATAAAATGCCCATTCCAATTCAATCTCTTGCTTCCTACTCTTGCCTTCCTTTTTCTTTTGCCCTTTTCACTTTCCCTTGTGATATGCTGTTCCCCGTGCACGCATGGGATTATTCGACTCACACGCCACACCACGTAACTCTCCTTCCTCCGCTCGCTCTCTCCGTCCACTTTGACGGGTCTTGGACCCCAACCCCAGCAGACCCGACAAGCTTTTTCCTGTGGAGACACTGTGCTCTAATGGCTACCTGATAACTGATTGGATGCACCGTGTGGATCCCATAGGCTATCACAAGCAACAATCAAGAAACGGGTACGTAAGTAGCACGTGATATTTGTAGATCGTAACACATTTTTTAATACATCAGTTACGGATCGGATCTTCGCGAAAAGTGGAGGATCCGTACCCGGTTTTTGTCCTGTCGGAGTACTTACCACTAGATCGGTTTCCCCGGTCTCCCATAGCCCCTCTCGCCGCTCTCCGCTCGCCGCCGCCATGCTGGGGTTGGGCTTCACGGCCTTGCTGCGGCTCGCGTGGCTCGCGGCGACTGTGCCCATACTCGTGGTCTCCCTCCCGATACGGCCAGTGGGTTTCCTACATCGGATGATTATGGGGTTTGCCGCCAGAGGAAAGACGATGATGAATTCTTCCACCGTAAGCCTTGTTTCTTAGGTTGGATGTTTATTTGGTTTTGTCCTCTTTTCGACGTCGGTCGTTGATGAAGGAGGGAAATTTGTGACCTTTAAAATACAGATTAGGCTGTCAAAAGTCTACGCTACCAATTAGCACTGAGATAATAAGGGCTTCTTAGGAAAAGCAAGATTCGATTTCAAATGTCAATTTGAGATGCTTCATCATAATTATCGCGTTCCATCCTTGCGAAGCTTTTGGATGTGAACGTTTTCAGTTTTGCATTGTGTGCTTATGTCAAATATCTTGAAAATTATTATTGACAGTCCCTTTTTACTATTTATAATTTTATTTTGTTTTTAATATTTCTAAACTATGAACTTTCCTCCTCCTCCTCCTCTTCCTCCGTGGAGGACGGCATCAAGGGGTGACGAGCAGGGTCGGACGGCATTGGGGACGAGCGGCATCGACAACGAGGATGAAATAAGAGGGTGCGGGGAAGAAAAAAAAATTAAAAAAAAAGATAAAATCGGTTATGCAAATAGTAAAATAATATTTTATTATTTTTTTAAGGGATAGTCAATAGTAAAAAAAGGAATTATGAATAGTAAGCTTCATTCTTTTTAGTGAATTGCACAGGTACACTTTCTCTAGAGACACTTGATGCATCTTACTTTGGTGGATCTTGAATTCAGAAGATTTTTAGTCCTGTATGTTTTTAGTTATCTCAAAGTTTTCCTTTTTAATGAACAGCAGAAATTCACCGTCCCACAGCGATACTTCTTGCATTTTTATTGGTGGTCTCTAGCATTGACAACATCCTTGGCACTTTCTACATGGTTCTATGCCTATAGAAAAATGGTACCATTAGCATCTGAATCATTAAGCTACTCGACAGTTGCCAGTCACTTGATCGGAGGATCACATATCTTTTCTTCTCACAAAGTTTCATCTACCCCCATGGAGCATAAGTACCAAGTCTGGAGGACAGTCTTTGTGCTTTTATTGATGGAGGTTCAGGTCTTCAGACGTTTGTACGAGACACTAAATGTGTTCCACTATAGTCCATCAGCCAGAATGCACTTTCTTGGCTATTTAACCGGGCTTTTGTAAGTATTATGAACCCTTGTTCTTTGTTGTTTGTTTAATATCCTTATGGATTGTAAGATTCTTGTAGATTATTTCTAAGAGAGAAAATTAGGAGTGTTCTTTTAGAAGTTCTTAGTGAAATCCTGCTTTGTGTTGGAAAAGAACACTAGAAGCAAGGATGAGTAACTAAGTAGCAACAATCAAGTGCATATTTGGTTTTGGAGCAGAGTACATAATCTAAATATGACAAATACTATGCCTGCATATCTAGGTCTTTTAGGATACTCATAAAGATAAAAAGCAAGGTTCATCATACTGTGACGTACTGCTCGGTATGGGCGGTATGTACCAGTCTGACATGGGACTGGTATGGGTGGTACATTAGCACACCCCCTGTGTACCGTGTGTCAGTATGCTAGGTATAACTTGATACATACCGCACCGATAATTGATCGGTACATCGGTACAAACCGGTAAAACAAACCATGATAGAAAGGGCAGCCAAGTGCACAAAGTTCCCTCAAGTGTGGAGCCCAAGGAGGGTTAATGTACACTTACCTCTGCAGGTAGGATACCCATAAAGATTATATCTGTAATAGCTTCATCTTGCCCCTTATCTGGTCAAGAGTTTTAGTTTCTTATGTGTACCTTGTTCATCTCTTCGGTTGCTTCTTTTTTGGGTTAGTTAACTGGATACTTCTAATCAATTAAACAATGCTATTTTAATTATTACCACTCCTTTATAAAATAGCTCGGTGCATCTTAATCCCTTGATGTACTTTATGATAGTTAAGTTTGCTCTTTATGGATTTTTTGTTTTGTTAATGGTTGCAAACTACCATATATAAAAATAATTATCTCTTGGGTTATGCTCAGTTGTCACTGTTATTTGGATATTATTCTCTTGAGTTCTTATTTCTCTAGATATAGATTGTTTTTTAAAACCTATCAATTCGGATTATGCCAATTGCTGTATCTTGGATGGGTGTCAAACAAATTTACATTTTGTGCATGATTAATTGGTTGGCAATTTTTGTTGCCAAAGTGCAACTAGCATTTAGAATATCCATGTATTGCATTTCAGTTGAATACAATTCTGTTTAATCTACTTTTGTTGTTTTCTCTTCTTGTCCTCCAATTTTTAGACCTTTATGTTTTCCTGATGGAAAGAATTTCCTGGGATATATGAAAGAGTGCTGATGATGCCTAAAAATTTGTTCTATCTTCATCTAATATTGAATAATACAGTAGTTCTATAGGATAAAATATTCAGAAGTATCTGATTCCAGAAAATAAGGAAATGTTTAATTTGTGATATTTTAACTGATGTTTATTTTTTATTTCTTTCAACATTTATTGGGTTCTTGTGCCTAAAGACCTAGTTGGTGATTTTAAATATTTAAAAAGTGTATATTTTTTTAGAGTTTAGATTTTAATTAAGTTTTGAATACTTGAATCTTTATTTAAAGTTTCTATTAAGGACTTTAATAGAAACTATAAACTATAAATAAAAATTTAAGTATTCTGAACTTAACTAAATATATGATTCTTTACGAATCTCAATGGCGGCAAAAGATCCATGTAGTCAACCTCAAATAGTTGGGACTTTTGACTTTATTGTTGTTGTTGTAAAAAGGTATATATTTTTCTATGATTATTTTTTATAATCGGTGATGTTTGCAATTTCCCAACATTAATATCAGATTTCCATTCAACAAATTATGTTGTTGTGCTTTTCTAGGGTGAAAGTAGTAAACTAAGATAATACAAAAAATTAAAATGTGTTTATTTATATAATTTTTATGCTAGGTATTATACAGGGGCACCATTGTCGCTTGGTATCTCTTGTGCTTCTGAGGCATTAAGTTATGCACGTGATCAGATAGCTGAGTTTATCGTAAAAGGCCGTGATAGAATGCCAGATCTTCAGATTGACTGGTTGGAATTATTGAAGCCTCTTCTTTATCTAGGATGGTGTCAATGGATAGGTGCTGTTATCTTTCTTTGGGGTTGGCTACATCAGCTTCGTTGTCATGCAATTCTTGTATGTGGGATTTATTATGCTTATAGTTTGCCTGTATTGATAGTATTTGATTTCATATATGATTTTGGCATTTAGACTCGTCATCTTATTTTTACTTGGAATGTTTGTCAAAAATCTCATTAATTCATATATATATCAATGCATGCAGCATTCAGATGAGGACTTAGTTAATCAGCCTGGTCGTAAACTCTTATGTTTTTTGTACTCTAAAGATGCCTTTATTCATTGATAAAACAGCTCTCTTTAAGCTTCATATTCTTAAGCTAATTTTGTAACTCTAAAATTTGAAATGTTTGTTCTCTTCAATCTTTAAATGATTGTTCTTGATTGTATGAAATTAAAATAACATTGTGTACAATAATTGCCCATGCTTAGGGTTACTGCCAGTCTGCCATATATCATCCATGTTTAGGATGTGCCAACACTCTGGTGCTGATAGGTATGAGGCTTGTCATACCATGCCAAAATGGATCATGGATGGATTACTTAATGCGCATGGAAAGATTACCAGTTCCACGAGTAATGGCAATTGCCACTTGCCTTGCTGTGCCACAATGGCTTGCCTTTGCTACTACCTTGGTGTCCCTCAACCAAGCCACTTTGAATGAGTTTCTAGATCATTTTTTGTCAAATTAATTATTGTGTTTGGCATAATGCATATAACATGCTTAGAAACGACTATATAATCAATTTATAGTTGGCTAGTAATTACTATATTTTTAGAGGAAAAGGAAAGTATTAGTGGATAGTTGTTGCTGCAGGGCCCAACTTTGTTGATTTTTTGTTTTCTTTTTTCTTGTCTACGACTGACTATTAAGTAACTTATGAAATATTGATTATAAACTTGGCGCGCATATTTGCTGCTATATGAAGTAGGGACAGATCAATAAGCGGTTTTTATCTCTGCAGTACCACTTATATTTTATTTTATTTTATTTTGTGATCATAGATAAATTATCAAGTATTAAATTAATAGTATCATGATTTATATTGTAGATCTATTTTATCTTCCATTATGCCATCATTCTTCACTTATAATTGACTTTATCTGCTTGTCTTTTCTTCAGTCTTAATATCATGCATAAAAAAAAGATGACCAAGTGCATAAGGCTCCCACTAATTCGGAGTCTTTGAAAAGTCCCAATATCATGCATAATATGAATTCTATAAGAAATGCTGCTGAGATCTCAATTTTTGACAGGGTTCATTGCGTGAAAACAAAGGAGCCGATGAGTATGTGATCCCTTATGGTGACTGGTTCAGATATGTTTCATGCCCGCATTACCTTGCTGAAATAGTAATTCTCGTGCTTCTTGTCCTGTAACTAGTCAAGATTTCTTACTGACATCAGTTGTTTTTAATCCTGTTTAACCTCTTGACATATTAATTCTTAACAAGTGTATACATACAGTGAATGTCTCTAGGAATGGAAGTTTTAAGAAAATGTTATAATGTAGTTGTTGGAAAAATAATAATAAAAGAGATTAGGATGGTGATATATAGGATCTTTTTTCTGCTTACATATCCCTAGAAGCCTCAAATTTGCATATTTTCCCCCTCATAGTGTCATCATCTCGATACCTTTTGAATAGTAATCTTTCCACGAATGCCTCCTGTGCTAACAGACAGTCTTAATATGAGGATGGTTTAGTTGAATTTACAGAAAACATGTATGGACATCTTGATCTCGTCTGGTCCTCCTGGTACCTTATGTTTTCCTCTCGTTACAATGGTGGGATTATTAACCATCTTTTCCTCAAATAAACATGTAGTGATAGTGCATACAACTCAAATTAGTGTCATGTATATTGAATATTTCATATCATGGCTTCTGCAATCATTTATGTTGTTTTAGGATTTAGTTCAAGTACATGTATTCTGTAGACATGTGTCATGGAACTGCCTTCACAACCAAGTAGTTGATTGTGAATTGAATTGATGCCTTTTTAAAAAAAAATAATTGGATGTTTTGAACACGATGACTTTTGAATAGCTATGAATTAATATTTCACATTTGAAGATGTCTTCGTAAAAGTACTTTCACCTGTCCTGTCACAGATTTTCCATGTGGGAACAAGTTCAAAGTTTTCTGAGAGATTTTTGAGAGACTAATAGAATGTTTTTGGGAGGGAAGTTGAGACTTGGACGCATAATTGTTTGTGCTAGAGAATAAGGCTATCATTGGCTATTATGTATTAATAGCTTGATCAAACTGAACTTCCATTATATAGAACTAGATGCTGGATGCAGTGCCTCATTTTTTGTTGTAATGAATGGTACTGATTATATCTAAACATGACATGGTATTCTTGTCTGCATCGGTCTCAGCCAATGTGACTTTTGCTATAACAGCGGTGATAAAATGAGTGAACCGAGATGGAAACCATAATATCATTGCTCTGGATTAAGATGCAAGTACTTGGCCATTTTGTTTGGTATGTTGGAAGACGAGTGTCTATATGTTGAGTCTCATAGGAAAAGTTCTTTACGTGGTCCAATATTCTTCCTTTTCATGGACCTTATTCTTCTGTGCCTTGCAGATCATATATTTTGGAATCCTGGTTGCAAGCGGAGGATCGGATATTACAATTTGGCTTCTTTTCATGTTTGTGGTATGTCTGAGCTGAATCTGAGTGTGTTTGATATTGCAGTATGGTTTCTCTTCATGTTTGTGTGTGTCCAAGCCAAACCTGAGTATGCTTGGCGTGCATAAAAGTGCGTTTTATTGTATGCAAATCTCAGAAAGATTGTTTTTCCTGTCTTTGACCACTGCATTCAATTTTTATTTGATGACAGGTATCCAATCTGACATTTGCAGCTGCCGAAACGCATAGATGGTACCATCACAAATTTGAGAACTATCCGAAGACCCGTCGAGCTATCATTCCATTTGTTTACTAGAAAAATTTCACACACAAAATTACTTTGAGAATCTATGGAAATTGGTTTATGTAATTGTTTTTTATTTCCATAATGATTATTAGGTACTGTGCCTTTCATGTGCCCTGATACTCCATCCTGTGCATAGAACCAGGCAAGCCTGGCGGTGAGCTGAAGGAGAAGCGGCAGCCAGGGAGTTGAACCACCCAACTATCCCTCCTCCTCTGTTCAACAAGCGAGTTTTATGACCGCCATCAATTCAACATCATTTCTCTGCCCCCACCATTCTCTTCCTTCTCCGCACATATGGCAGCTTCCTCCTCAGGCCACCCTTTTCCCCGCTTCTTCTATTCCTCTTAGTTGGCTGCATACGGTAGAGAACTAACTCCAGACATCCACTGAAATATATTTAGATATGAAAAGCTTTCTTAGAAGATTATCATAAGGACTTTCTTAGTTATCATTTTAGATTTTTTTTATTCTCATATATAAAGATATGATTTTCTAAAGACATAAATTTTCTCATCTCCAATTTGTTCTTAATTGTAGTGATCTCTAGAAAAAGAAAAGGAGAGTCTAGTTTTTTTTACAAATCGATATAACCATAGCTTTTGTATCTGACGATAATACGCATACAGATCAGATAAAGGTTTTCTGAATGATATTGAAAAGTACATATCTGAATGGCATCATGGGTGTGACGAAACACAGTGACGATGATTGAGAGAGGTTTTAGGGTTTCTTTCATTTTTAACTAAAAGAATATTTTTAAACTCTAAAAAATTAGATAATTTTAATTTATCCTTTAATTTATTTTTTAAATTATACCTTCATAACATAATATTTTCATTATATATCCCAAAAAATTATATAGTTTTGCTCTTTATAAATTAATATTTTTTTACTAATGTCATCAATTATAAAATTGATTAATTTGATTTATTTTAATCAAATATTTTAATTGAACTTGATCATGATTATATTTTGACTAATTGACTAGATTTAGATTCGCTTAATCAAGTTTTGATCCAATTCGGGAAAAGTCAAATTTTGATCAATTTTTTACTTTGATCAAATTTTGACAGGCCTAATTGACGGGATAGTTGGTCCAAATCTATGAGCCTAATTTGAGTAACCCAATTCTGAGTTTGCCTAATTAAATAGAATTGACTAGTCTAAGGGTTCCACATGAAATTAAAAAATATTAATTATAATTTTATTTTATAATTTTTTCATGTGATAATTAAAAATCTAATTATTATTCATGGATGCTTGTTTGATCATTCACATGTATATGTTTAAAATTATAAAATAATATTTATCTTTTATATAAAAGATATGATTTATAATTTATCATAATTATAGTTATCATGTTGATGTCATTGTTAATTATCTTATTAAATAATTATAATTGATAGTTTTAAGAAATCTCAGATGAAAAGGAGACCTGTCATTTTTTATAACATATAAATCAAAAGGATCTCTTATTATTTTCACAAGTTACATAAAGTAATAATTCTGAAAAGTGATATAATGTAATAAAAAAAAAGTTGAAATTAATGTGCTAGTGTTTGAGACAATAATTATAAAGGAGTCTATTATATAAACATGACTCAAATGATAATATTGAATAATATAACAATCAAATTTATGATCAAATATTTTACTCATAAAAAATGCATCGATCATAATAAGATATATATTTTTTAAATAAACTTATTAAGAATCATTATGATATTAGTGGCTCATTATAATTGAGTTACAGGATGTGAAAAAAAATTTCTAAATAGGGATCTAGATTTTTAGGGATTAGCCTATATGATTCCTATTGAAAATGAAAGAAAATTTTGGTATGTAAATTTATGAAATCCATTTATAATCTTAAACAGGTATCCGGATAATGATATATAAAGTTTTATAATATCATTATTTTCTTCATATTTAAAAAATATTATTAATCAAGGTTTATATATGAAAGTTAGTATGTGCTAATTTATTATATTGGTCTGTGGATAATATTTTACTTCGTAATAGTGATATTATATCAAACTAAAAAAAAATTATTAATAATTTTAAGATAATTGATGTAAATGAGATATCTTATATTATTGATATTAAGATATTCATTGATAGATCTCAATGATTGTTAGAACTCTCTCATAATAAGTATTTTAAATATATATTCAAGGATATTCAAGGGTATATTATCCGAGTCTTAAAGATATTTAGCATACATCTTTATTCAACAAATGACATAGGTAAAAATTTAAATCAAAATAAGTATTTTTAAAATGACTTAGAAAATAATCAGATAAAAAAAATATTTATTATGTATGTGTAGTTAAAAATCTATTATATGCTTAAGCTTATATCAAATCATATATCAATTTTGCAGTTGATATACTATATACTAGGTAGATATTAAAGTTATATAAGAATGAAGCACTAAATGACTATAAAAAATAATAAAATATTTGAAAGGAACAAATGATTATATGCTCACATATTCCTATAAATTGTCTCAATAGTAGAAAGTCTATTTTGTATTTTATATTTATTAGTTAAAAAAATTATAGAGAAAAATATTATTATATAGTTAATTATATAAGCTGATTTTATAATATAGGTTTATGATTATAAAGTTTTATCTCGAGGCTTGATGTGATCAAACTCAATTGTCAAGTCGCTAAATATATTTTGTGACATATTACAATAGTTTTTCTTCTATAAGAATAGTAAGTATTATGATAATATAAAGTACTTAATGATTAATGATTAGAGAAAAAAGTTTAGAAATAATTAATGTCAATTAAGAACTTAATCATCTGCATCAAGACATTCTCATATCATTTGTATATTTGCATTAATATTATTTTATTAAACTAAACTCCTTTTATGATAAATGAAGATTAAAGAAAAATATATAATATCTCAATAATTAGTTATTTATCTCGGAAACCCTATACTAGTCTATGATAATGATTAAGAGATTTTCTCTTATCAAGACATTCTCATATCATTTGTATATTTACCTATTTACGTTAACATGATTATGATTATTTTAATATGAAGTCTGAGGACTTTTTTTGATAAATCATCTGAAAAGTAATATGAAGCATAAATTAACATAATTCATGATAAAATTATTGTAACTTGTTTAAATCTGTATGAATTTAAGTGAGCATTTTCAGGATTCAATTTCGGTCATGTAATTCTTGAGTTTCGAGGGTTGGATTAATGGAGATAATAATCTTTCTAAAAAATAACATGATATTGAAAACTTTGGTGACTAATGTGTTATGATAGCTTTTAGAGTTGATGCCAAATTCTCAATATGCAGACCCAGTTCTAATAAAGTTGCGTGGGATTGATTATATGGCTAACATCATTCCCTTGGGGGCAACATTGAGTTTTCAACTACTATTATCTATTGATCTCCTCCAAAAATATAAGAATGGTAAAATTGAATACGCATAATTCAAGCAATATCTGTTGGTCGTACTTTGAAAATCGATTATATATAATGAAGCTTTGGCCAGAGAAAAGAGATTGAAGGAAAAAAAAAAAACCTCTATAAACCATAATATCATTGATTTATTGGTCTTATTCGAGGAGATGAGACTCGCATGTTTTTAGAGTAAGAATCGTGTTCAACGGGTGAATTTTGTTAAGCTAAATAAGATGGATGAGTATTGGAAGAAAGTATTTCTCGATAAAATTATCTTCGATGCTCAAGAGGATTATTATACTCGTCTTTTGAAATAATAATAAATCTTTTTAAAAAAGATTGATGCAGAAGTTAAATCAAATAGATCTTTTCACTTGATTTCAATATATTAATTCCCATTCGAAATCTATAATTGAACGAAAAAGATAGGGGAAGAAACTGTGGGTTTGGATTCATCCCTGTCACGGTTGCCGGTTCGGCGGCTCCCACCGGATTAGACAGACGCGTCGACTTCGACGTCGGAAAGCTAAGCAGAGATGGCAGTGAATTGAAAGAAGCAAATGGGAAGCTGAGATCGTGACCGATACCTTTGTAAGTTTCCAATCATTGCACGTTATTCCTCTCTTCCCTAACATCTCCCGACGTCATCACCAACCTTACCTTCTGAGACTTACACATTTGGCCTGTGTTCCCAATCTTTAAATCAAATCGCAATGATTGAATCAACACAGTGCCTCAAACGTACACATATTTGTCAACCTATTTAAAGCTTTCAAATCTAATTAATTTAGGCACTCAAATACACTTGAAATTTAATTCCAAATTGTATTTTCTCATAGTTATTTCAAAATATTATATATCTATTATTTATATATGACACCAAATCAGATGCTTCGCGAGAGAATCCCAACCACTTAATTAATTGGAAGGGGGAGAAAAAATAATTTTAGTATTTTACTACGTAATCAATTTTGCTGATTAATAAGTGTTTTAATCAACTAAGGAAGTGGAATGAACGAGTCAAGATCGGCGAGTGGGGCGAGGCGGACTGAACGAGTTGGACCGGTTTCAATCGATGAGTCTCCAGCGAATAATTGCGGCGGAGAAATTATTGGTGGGACATGTGGGGTGGACCCCATCCCTCTCCCACCCCACCGCCCATCCGCCCTCGTCGATTCATTCGATCATCCCTCCTTCCGCTTATAAACTCCTGCGTATCCACCCGTTCCTTTCCGGCCTTGCTTTGCTTCCGGTTTCCCCTCAGGCTCCTCCCCGTCGCTCCAAGGCGATCGCAACACAGGTATTTATATAGAGAGATAGGACACGATCGGAAGAAGAAGAACAAGGAATAGAAACGAGGAGGAGCAATAGGAAGGAAGGAAGGAAGAATGAGCGGGGGAGGGGTGGGCACGCGGACCCGGGTGGGGAAGTACGAGCTAGGGAGGACTCTGGGCGAGGGCAGTTTCGCCAAGGTGAAGTACGCCCGCGACGTGCGGACCGGCAACAGCTTCGCCATCAAGATCCTCGACAAGCAGCAGGTCCTCCGACACAAGATGGTCGAACAGGTTCGCGAGCTACCCCGCTTCTTTCGTGTTTAACCGCTCTGCTTCCCGGTTCCTTGTTAACATGTGACGTGTGTGGATTCCCGTGATCCCCTTCTCGTTCTTGTCTTCGTATAGAA